TATGGAGAGAGAAGAGAGCTGGTCCCAGGGCAAAGCCTCATAGGGCAACCAAGCTTTGAGGGTGGGAGAAGAAGGATGAATCAGTGAAAGAGACAGAGAAAGGGCAGCTGGAGAGAAAGGAGAAGAATCAAGAAAATGTTATTCTGGAAGTTTTCAATGGGGAGTTGGAAACATGGGGCTGGAGCTCAGCAGAGAGGTCAAGGGTGAAGATATGAGAGGTCATAGGTGAAAACATGCTTCCGAGAGTCATGTCTCACATCTTCCTAGCTAGTATCTGGGACTTTAAGCTTTGTTTTGGCTCTAATAAATGTTTATTGAATTGAATTAATATGGATTTTCCATATTATGGATTTTTCCATAAATAGGGAAGTTGAGCTTGGATTTAGCTTTGGTCTTGGCTCAGATACTTTCCCAGGAACTGGGAGTGCCCCCTGCCCTCCTTCATTCTGCCCCAACAATTCCTCCTCATCCCTCCAGACTCAGCTGTGAGTACCCCACCAGTAAGTAACCTTCCTTGAACCCTTCAGGCTTAGTGATCTCTTTCCTTCCTCCTCCTCCAACTTCCCAACACCAAACTCCTTTATACACAGACCTATATACAAAGGCAGCTAGGTGTCCGGGGTGCTGGTCCTGGAGTCAGGAAGACCTGAGTTCAAATCTGGCCTCAAGCTATGTGACACTTGGCAAATCACTTGATCTGCCTTCCTCAGTTTTTTCAACTATAAAATGTAGGTAATAATGGCTCCTACCTCACAGGGATGCTATGAGAACAAATGCAATAATATTTATCAAGCATTTAGCCCAATGCCTGGCACATAGCAAGTGACTGATGAATGCTTCCTTCACTTTCCTTCCTTTCTCACCTTCTTTCCCTCCTTCTCTCTATCCTTTTTTCTTTTCCTCCCTCCTTCTTTCTTCCTTCCCTCTTTTTTCTTCCCTTTTCCCTCCTTCCTTCCTTCTTTATACCTTTCCTATTGTTTCAGCCTGTGAGTCTTGTGAACCCCTCCCACTCTCACCCCAGGTAGAGCATGATCTTCCCAAGGGCAGATTTCTGCCTGCCAGCAGGTTTTGACCCATAGTGAGCTCTGGATACACACTTGTTGAATGTAAACAAGTGGAAGGGCTGAGGCAGAGGCAGAGGCAGTAGTTGAGTGTTAGCAAATAGCTCAGGCTGTGCATGGTTATCTCAGCAGGGGAGCTGTATGGTGGCTGGTCAGCAACTCCATTTCCAGTATGAGGGCAAATGAACTGGAGCAGCAATTATGTGTCTCCCTGGCAAGGGCCTAGAGGCCTGAGAGCTCTGCTTTCCCTCTCTGGAGGTGGGCTGGAAAAGAAGATTGGGGAAGGGGAATAGGAAAGGGAAGAAGAAAGAAGAGGGGGGCAAGCAAGAAGGGGATAGGAGAGAAGAGGGGAAAAAGGAAGGGGGGGAAAGGAAAGAATGGAAAAGAAGGAGGGATAGAGGAAAGGGGGAGGAGAGGAGGGAAGAAGGAAGGAAAAGGGAAAAGGAGATAGGGAAGAAGGAAAGGAGGGAGAGGAGAGACAGCAAGAAGGAAGACGAGAGAGAAGAAGGAAAAGAGGAAAGATCAAGAAAAAGAAAAGCCCAGTAAGCATCAGGGCAGACCAGGCAGGGGGGACTTGCTGCCTTTGAAATTGATCAAATATACTTGCCTCCTCCTTCATGAGCCCATTGAGGAGCATCTCTGTTCTGCCATAGCAGCTAATCTGGGGCTTTCCTGACCATCCTCTAGGGAATCTGCTTCAGGCTCTTCCCTCACCCTGCTGCTACTGCTGCTGGCAGCTTCCATGTAGCCACAGACAGGCAGCCTCTTTCTAGCTGTTCTTCCCCAGGGACCCAGCTCCGAGGCAGCTCACAGTCTCCCAGCTGGGCATTGGTAGCAGGCACACACATGTGTATACACATAGATATATGTATGTAAATACATATGTGCATATACATATATGCATGCACATATAATATATATGTATAATATGTATATTTGTATGTACATGTTATGTCCCCTGCAGAAGTTCTTGATTGTAGAGGGAATGACAACCTTGTAGACACTCCCACCATAGTGTACCATGCTCCCCTCCCCCCAGGCTTTAGTTGATAGACATCATGAGTTACTGTGGTTAAAAAAGTCATAATCTATTGACCAAACACTCTATACTTGCTGTGGGCCACAGAGTAACAAAACTCTGTACAGAAGAGACAACATCCTCCTTCCTCCCTCCTTTGAACCTTAGGGTTTCTTGTCTTATAGTGCAAGGGCTGCTTGGGCAAGAGTCATTCCTCTGTGGACACAACACATGCAAATGAGTGCTGGCTATATTCCATGTGAATCAGTGGTTTCAGCATCTTGGTGAGGGGATAGCCTCACCGTAAAACACTGACTGTCTTACTCTAACACTCTTTGTTCTATGTTTTAGCGTCTCCCTTCACTCTAACATTCTATATTCTAAGAAGTCTTCTAACTTGGTTCTAAGATGTTCTAAGATTCTTTTCATCTGTGACATTCTATTGTCTGAGTTCAAATCCTGCCTCAGACACTTGCCAGCTACACTGGGCAAGCCATTTAACCCTCAGTATCCTCATCTGTAAAATAGGGATAATAATAGCACTCACATCCCAGGTCTGTTCTGAAGATAAAGATAATATCTGTAAGATATTAATTAATTATTATATATAATAATGTAACAGAAGGAATATAATATAATATGATAATAGCTAAGATAATATCTGTAAAGTGCTTTGTAAATATTAAAGAACTATGTAAATGCTAGCTATTTATTATTGTTGTTGTTATTGTTATTATTATTATTGTTATATTCTCAGAGCTCTTTGTTTCTGATGTTCTATGTCCCAAGGTCCCCTTTAGCTCTGACATTCTATGTTTTAGCTTCTGAACATCCTCCGGTTTTGAGGTCCTGTATTCTAAAGTCCCTTCCACTTCTGATGTTCTATGTTCTAAGACCTCTTACGCTTTTGACAATCTGTGTTCTAAGACCCACCCCAGCTCTAATATTCTATGTTCTAAGATTCTTTTTAGCTCTAAAATGAATACATTCCAGGGTCCTTTCCAGCTCTGACATTCTCTGTTCAGAGTCCCATGATCCATTTCAATTCTAGCATACTATAGTTCTATGAGTCTATGAAAAAAAATTTGCCCTTCAAAAGTATCAGAGCATAAATGCCTGTGGTACATTTTCAGACATCAATCACTGAGCAGGGGAGGACTGGGGGGCTTGTGAAACTTCCCAAACCTCCAGAATCACATCAATAGATGAGATCACCTGGACCTAAAGTCACACCATCAAGAGAGAGTTAAGGATGATGGTGAACCAGTTTGTACCTGGAAAGATCCAGGTATGTCCCATATAGTCTAGCCCTGTCTAGCCTTTTAAGCCTGCTTCCTTAACCCGAGTCCTCAGCTATGATCTTTTCCATATTCTCTAATGGTTCCACATCAGTAAGGCCAAGAGTAAGAGCTGGACAGCAGGGATGGGTTGACCTGAGAAAGCCATCTATACATTCTTATCAGTTCATCCTTATGCCTGGTATCACAATCTGGCTAGTGCCCCCCCAATAAATGCTTGTTGATTGGGGTTAGTTTGATGCTTTTTAATAACACTGTCCTGCACTGAGCTCCAGGTAGAGCCATGATTCGCTACACTCCACCATTTGAACCTAGCATGACCAAAGGAATTGCAGTGAATTGCCCCTCAACCAGGACAGGTCACTCGGTCTTTCTTGGCCTCAGTTTTCTCATCTGTAGGTTGGACTAGATGACTTCTAAGGTCTTTTCCAAGTCTTAATTTATATTCTGTGATCTATGTCAGTACACACAAGTCTGTACCTATGTAGTATATATATATATATATATATATATATATATATACACACGTACACACATGCACATACACACATAATTACTATATATATATATATATATATATAGTAATATATAGTCAGATGTTGGCCAAGGTCTGGTTTCCTTAGTATGTTACCAGGTGACCAGTACTCAGATTGGCATCTAGACCCTTTCTGGTCTGGACCTATCAATTGGTTCCTATCCCAAAATGTGCCTAGGCAGTGGTTGACACACACCAACTCTTAGAACTGAGGAAATTATTCCTCTTCCTACAATTCCTTGGTTTGGTAACCATGACAGACTGGGATCCCAGACTGATCTTTCTACTTCTATTCAACACAAACTCACAAAATCACTAAATCTCAGAGTTGGCAGGGAACTCAAATGCCATCTCACGCCACTCATACCCAAAGAAGAATTTTCTCTACATTGTGCCTCTTAAATGGCCTCTATGAGGGCCTATCCACTGCATCCAGAAACAGGCCATGCCACTCTGGGGCAGCTGTAATTGTTAGGAAATCTTTCTTTACGTTAAGCCCAAATTGGTGTCTTTGCAGCTTCATAGGATCATAGATCTGGACCCAGAGGAAATCCCAAAGGCCAGCAAGTCCCAGCCCCTCATTTGACAGATGAGGAATTGGAGGGCTCATGAGGAGCAGTCACTTGCCCAAGATCACACAGATCCTCTGACTCCAGAGGCAGATTTCCATCATACTGTCTCCCACCCATTGCTATCCCTCTTCTATGAGACAGAACAACTTGAAAACAGCCATCTTGTCCTTACTGCTTTAGTGACATCAGTCTTCCCCCCAATTTCTTGCTTATTCCTGTCTCCATGATTTTTCTCATACCCTTTCTTACTGTCTGAATGCCCTCCCTCCTCTCTTGCTGTGTATCTAGCCTTCAGGAAGACAAGCTCAAGCCCCAGCTCCTTCCATGAATCTTTCCCAGACTTGTATGGAAAACTAAGTGATACAGTGGATAGATTGCCAGACATGGAGCCAGGAAGACATGAGTTCCAATCCTGCATTTGACACTTACTATCTTTGTTGACCTTGGGTAAGTCACCTGACCTTTCTTAGCCTTAGTTTCCTCATTTGTAAAATGCAGTTAAAAACAATACCTACTGTGTTTGTTTTGGCAGCACATATACTAAAATTGGAATGATACAGAGAAGATTAGTCTAGCCTCTGTGCAAGGATGATGCACAAATTTGTGAAGCATTCTGTATTTTTAATCAGTCATTATTTTGGAAAAAAATAATACCTACCCTCCCCACCCTGGTTGTTGTGAGGATTAAATAAGTTAACATATGTGAAGTGCTTCACAAACCTTAAAATGCCTTACACATTCTAGTTATCATCATCATCATCATCATCATCATCAAGCCAGACTCCAGTGATACCTTGCTCCTCATAGATACCATAGGTACCACTACATATTATTGGTATTACTATATTTTCATGTGGGTGATACAATTCCTTTAGAGATATCCTTGTCTTATATCTTGTGACCATGTAAAGGTGACCCTGGGTCCTTGAAGGTAATGCAATGGAGCACAATCTCTGGACGTTCCTATCAAGCCAGAAAGGTCTCAGTTGAGGGTCTAGTTATGAGCTATGTGCCTGCTGACCAAGACCTACATGAGGAAAAAAGGTCCTTGTAGTGATGTGAGACCTAGAAACTTAGAGAAATTCCAGTCCAACCATTCATTTGACAAATGAATTAACCAAGGCCTAGAGATATGAAAAGATTGGCCATACTTTTTCTTTCCTTTTGGATTCACAACAGTTTGTAGAATAATAGTTGTAGGGCTTGCAAGGACCATCTAATTTCTAGTCCAGCCTCCTCATTTTACAGGTGAAGAAACTGAAGCCCAAGAAAATAAAATGGCTTGTCCAAAGTTCCATAGGTGGTAAGATTCAGAGGTGGGATTTGAAATCAGGCTCTCTGACTTCTAGGCCTTCATGCTTTCCACTGTATTATACTGCCTCCTATGAACAAGAAACCTGATTAAGACCATCATCTACTGAGGCATGGAGGCAATGCAACCTGCTTTGGTGGAATACCAACCCTAATGAAATCATGGATTTGAAGTATTGGAGGGGTGATCCAACTAGACATAAGATCCACGAGGTCAAGGACCATATTATACCCTTCCTTATGTCTCCCCAAAGCATAGTCTGGCATAAAACTGAGCAGGCAATAGGTGCTTCATACATCTTTGATGGCAACAATAGGTTTGTGCCCTGTCCAAGGTTCTGAAAGGTATGAGGCCTCTTGGAAATAGTGGGGACAATGCCGAGGACGGGGATGAGAGATGGTCACTTTAGGGTAGATGGGCGTTGGTGATTCACTTTAGATCCTTATGCAGCATACGGTGTCCTGGCCTTTTCGGGATGCTTTGTCAATTCTGAAAATTTACTGTCTCTTTTCCAATCCCCCAAACTCTGAGCAAAGTTGGCTTTCTTCTCCTATTCCTTCTCCTCTCCTTCCTTCTTTTTTCTTTTCTTTCTTCTTCTTCTATTACTTTTCTTCCTCTCCCTCTCATTTTTCCTTTCCTCTTTTCTTCACCTTCTTCCTTATCTCTGACTGTCTATATCTATTTGTTTGTGTCTCTATGCTTGTCTTGTGATGGACTCTCTCAATTACACAGAAACACATAATCTCTCTCTCTCTGTCTCTCTCTCTGACACACACACACACACATCCAGGCTCTGGAATTATTTAGAGAGTTGTTCTGAAATGCCATTAGTGCTGTAGAATGGGACAAGAAGACAATTTGTCATGTTCTGACTCTCTGGACAATATGACCTGCTCTCCTACTGCTCTTCGTGATCTGGCCTGAATCAAATGATCCAAGAACATTTACCATTTGTCTTATCTCCATGTGGCACTGAGCCAAGAGCAGTGCCCAGACAGTCTCTTCTCCCAAGAAATCTATAATCTGAAGGGACAATGTCACAGACAAACACAGGGGAGAAAGCTCCATTAAGGAATGAGCAAAGGACGGGTAGGGATCATGAAGAAGCAGTTAATATGTTCATATTTCATCCAGGTGTTCATAAAGAGGTTGGGAGTGTATCAGGGAGTGCCATGGTTAGTTGGAATGAGAGTCAGGATAGAGTAGGAAGGGATGCATGTGTCCTAGATGCCCTGGGAAGATTAGTGGATTTGGAACCAGAAAACTGAGATTCAATTCTTGGCTTTAGTCCTTACTCTCTAACCTATGACAAAGTACATCGTATCTCCAGGCCTCAGTTTTCTCATCTATACATTAGACAAGAGGATTTTAAGGCACCTTCCAGCTCTAAATCCTATGCTCCTATAATTTTGGCAGCATGAGCTTAATGTCTAGGGCATACTTTAGGTTGCTCAATCAAGGAACTATGGAAAATAAGGGAAGAAATGACTCTAAATATCCTTCAGACTGAGACCCCATCAGCAATGTGCCCAAGGCAGAGGGGAGGCTGCTCTTAACTACATGGTTTAGTGGAACTATGGAGTGCAAGGGTGTCCACTCGAAATGAACAACCTGAATTTGTTCCTTGTAGAAATGGGGAACTGTGAGTGGATAATGGTGCATACACAACTACTTCTGTGGATACAGCATTGACTGATTTGCCTTTAGCTATTTTTCTTTGTTAAAGGGGATGACTCACTGGGTGAGTAGGATAGAGAATCTGGAAGTAATTGTGATGTAAAAACAGAAAGCATTAATAAACTTAAAAAAATTAATGTGGAGACAAATAGCCTTGCAATACATAGGGTAATAAGTAATTTTTAAAAATTTTATTTTTATTTTCGGTTTCAAATTCTCTCTCTCCCTCCAGCCATCCCCCACTATTGAGGAAGCAGTAAATATGATATCAATTATGCATATGAAGTCATGCAAAATATAATTCCACATTAGCTATGTTTTGGAAGAAAAGCAAGAAAAATAAAGAAAGGGAAGAATATGCTTCAATCTCTGCTTTGAGTTTATCAGTTCTCCACGAGGAAGTGGACAGTGTTTTACAACTTGAGTCCTTTGGAGCTGTAATGGATCATTGCATTCATCAGTTACTAAGTCTTTATTGTATAGATTGTGCTCCAATTCTGCTCACTTCACTTTGCATCAATTCATATAAGTCTTCCCAGGTTTTTCTTCATCATTTCTTATAGCATGATAGTATTCCATCATATTCATATACCATAACTTCTTCAGTCATTCCTCAATTGATGAGCATTCTCTCACTTTTCTATTTTTTGGTATTACAAAGAGAGCCGCTATAAATATTTTTTGTATGTACGTGGCCTTTTCCTTTTTCTTTGTTCTCCTTGGGGTATAGAACTTGTCATGGTATCTCTGGATCAAAGGATATGCAATTTTAAAGACCCTTGGAGTAGTTCCAAACTCTTTTCCAGAATGATTAGACTACTTCATAGCTAATGTTTAATTATCAAAGGTTGACATACTATCTTCTCTTCAGTAAGATTTCAAACTCTAAGATCTGGTCCTTGCCAGGGATATTAGATGGTCCCTAAAGATCATCAACTCTTAAGAGTTTCAAGAAGCATCTAGTCCAACTGCTACATAAACTAGAGATTCCCCTCTATGACATGCCCACTGGGTGTTCATCATTCAAGGTCTGCTAGAATAACTCTTGTGTTGGGGAATGCACTGCCTCACAAGGCAACACATGCCTCTTTTAAACAGCACTAATTTTTGCAAAGTTCATTTTAATACTGAGTCCACGCCTTCCTCCCACTAATTTCTGTCCTTCTTGGTCCTCAATGAACATTTTGTTAATGCCCATTTTTACGTCACAGCCATTGCTGCGCTCTGGAGACCATATGGAACATTTCTCTCTTCCCCATCACAGTCCTTTACGTGGATGACTACGTCCCCACTGCTATAAACACCCTTGCACAAATAGGTCCTCCCCCACTCCACCCCCTTTTTTTGATCAATGGAGAGTATTCTTGCTCAGGTGTGAGTTGGATCAGGCAGCTTCTGAGGCCCCTTTCAGCTCTGAGATTCCTTGGCAAGATGTGATACTTGCCTATGAAGAACTTTGGAGTTTGATAACAGAAATGTGAGCAGTTAGGAAGCTTCTCTGCCATGTGAAGCAGGACTGTGGATCATTGGTGCTCAATTCCTCTCACTTCAGCTTCAAGAGGGACCCCCCTGATACCTCATTGCAGCACTCCAGGCTTTGATGAACAAGTATGTACTTATCTCGTCCATGGAGCTCATGATTTTACAGATACTGAGCACAGTTTCCTAGGAAGAATAATAAGAAGAGAAAGACTCGGAGAAATTAAATGGGTCCATTTGGCCCCCTGCTCAAAGAGCTCCTTGGGTGACCTGAGTGAGATTATCATCTAAAAGAAAGGTTTGGAACTACGCTGGGGATCTGTGATTCCTCCTGCCCAGCAGCAGAACATGACCCATATGTAACCAAGGGTCCTAGGGAATTTCCCTGAGGCTCAGTAAAGTGAGGTGATTTACCTAGGATCAATCAATTAATCAATCAACTAGCATTTGTTAAGTGCTTACCATGTACACACTGTCCTATGTACTAGATCATAATAATAATTACAATAATAAGGGCTCCTCTCTTCTCCTCCCCTCCCCTCTCCTCTCCCCTCTCCTCTCCTCCCCTCCCCTCATCCCTCCTCTCCCATCTCTTCTCCTCTCCTCTCTTCTCACTTCTCTCCTCCTCTTCTCTCACCTCTCCCCTCATCTCTCTTCTCCTCTCCTCCCCTTTCCTCTCCTCTCCCCTCCCCTCCCCTCTCCTCTCCCCTTTCCTTTCCTTTCCTTTCCTTTCCTCTCCCCTCTACTCTCCCCTGTCCTCTCCTGTCCTTTTCTCTCCCTCTTTGAGGACCTTGCTCTCAGCTGGCTACCAGCCAAGTGCTGTGCAGGGATTAGATCATGGAATTAGATCTTCTTGGTTCAAATCTCAGGTCTGCCTTGGGAAGTTCACCCCCGTGCCCTTTGAATAGAAGAAACAACCACTGATAGAGAAGAGAGGAAGAACTGAGGACAAACTTCTCTGACTTTGCAGCTTTGAGAAGGGCATCTTTTTAGAGGAGTGGGGGGATCACCCCTGTCAGCATCTGTTCTACAGCTTAGAACCTTTGAGGTCTCTGGGCCACTGAAAATTTAAATGAATTTCATAGGGCCAAGCAACCAGTAGCAGAGGTAGCATTTGATCATGATTTTTTTTTTTAATTCAAAGGCCCTCTCTTT